TGGCGCAGTGGTTGAGAATCTGCCTGCTAATGCATGGGACACGGGTTCGAGCCCTGGTCTGGAAGGATCTCACATGCCGCGGAGCAACTAGGCCCGTGAGCCACAACTACTGAGCCTGCGCGTCTCGAGCCTGTGCTCCGCAACAAGAGAGGCCGCGATAGTGAGAGGCCTGCGCACCGCGATGAAGAGTGGCCCCCGCTTGCCGCCACTAGAGAAAGCCCTCGCACAGAAACGAAGACCCAACACAGCAAAAATAAATAAAATAATTAATAAACTCCTACCCCCAATATCTTAAAAAAAAAAAAAAAGAGGTGCTGAAAGCATTGGGTAAAAAAGTTGTTGGGGGACAGGTTATTCACAGGGTCTCAATGTACCACCTACGGATAACATCATAATTCAAATGGGAAGAGATCTGACAGTCACTTCCTATTACGGCCTGAACTGTGTGTCCCCATCAAACTCATATGTTGAAGTCCTAACCCCCAGTACCTCCGAATGTGACTCTATTTGGAGAAAGAGCCTTTAAGAGGTGATTAAGTGAAAATGAAATCATATGGGCAGGCCCTGATGCAACGTGAGTGGTGTCCTTATACGAAGAGGAGATTAGGACACAGACACACGCAAAAGAAAGACCATAAGAAATATAAGCAAGATTTCAAAAAAGATATTTGCACCCTCTTGTTCATTGCAGTATTACAATAGTCAAGAGGTGGAAGCAACCCAGTTGTCCACAGAAGGATGACTAGATAAACAAAATGTGATATATACAAACAATGGAATGTTATTCAGTCTTTTAAAAGATGGGGGACTTCTCTGGTGGTCCAGCGATTAAGACTCCACGCTTCAACTACCAGGGACATGGGTTTGATCCCTGGTCGGGGAACTAAGATCCCGCATGCCGTGTGGTACAGCCAGAAAGAAAGAAAAAAAAGAAAAGTTTAAAAGATGGAAATCCTGTCCTATGCTATGACATGGATGAGGCTTGAGGACTTTATGCTTAGTGAAATAAACCAGTTCACCAAGAGACAAATGCTGTATGATTTCACTTACATGAGATATCTAGAGGTGTCAAAATCATGGGAACAGAAACTAGAATGGTGGTTGCCTGGTGCTGGGGGGAAGGGGAAATAGGAGCTGTGTTCGATGGGTAGTTTTAGATTTAAAAGATAAAAACGTTCCAGAGATCTGTTACACAACAATGTGAATATAGTTAATACTACTGAACTGCACACTTATAAATGTGTAAGATGGGGGACTTCCCTGGTGGTCCAGTAGTTGACTCTGAGCTTCCAGTGCAGTGGGTACCAGTCGCATCCCTGGTTGGGGAACTAAGATGCCACATGTGGCATGGCCAAAAAACAAAAACAAACAAACAGAAAAAGAAAAAAGTGTAGGGACTTCCCTGGTGGCGCAGTGGTTAAGAATCCGCCTGCCAATGCAGGGAACATGGGTTCGAGCCCTGGTCTGGGAAGATCCCACATGCTGTGGAGCAACTAAGCCCGCGACCCACAGCTACTGAAGCCCACGCGCCTAGAGCCCGTGCTCCGCAACAAGAGAAGCCACCGCAGTGAGAAGTCCGTGCACCACAACGAAAACTAGTCCTTGCTCGCCCCCACTAGAGAAAGCCCGCCTGCAGCAACGAGGAACCAATACAGCCAAAAATAAATAAATAAAAATTTAAAAAAGATAAGAGCGTAAATTATATATTTTTGCTACAATTTAAAAATAAATAAATACATATGTGCATACATAAACACATAATAAATCAGTGAAATTCTTGATGCCCTGCTTGCCCTGGAGGTCAGCTCCTTCTTACAGGACATGACCCCTCCCATCTCCTGGGGTCTGACCACCCCCCTCAGTGCTGTATGAACATAAGATCAGATACTGTGTCCTGCAGTCTCTCCAATCCCTTCTTCCTGCTTCACTGCCCAATGCAGCCATCCTCAAGGTTCCTGGCTTTCAAAAACAATTGTGAGAAAACTCTATTCCCTGGGACATTTTTCAGTTGACATCTAAAATTACAGCATTTTGATCATTATAAAATGTAAAATTTTAATGGCAATGCATCTCTTCATTAGATGGATTAAGAGGGATTTTCCTATTTTTCTAGTAGATGAATGTCCTTGTTGCTGGAATGAGGTTGAGTTGAGTATTAATTCTACTCTGATTTTTCCTTTTCATTCATAGTGCTGAGACTCTGTAAGTTTCCTGGGGCTGGTGTAACGAATGACTACAAACTCGGTGGCTTAAAACAACAGAAATTTATTCTCCTCCAGTTCCGGAGGCCAGAAATTAAACATCAGTATCACTGGGCTGAAATCAAGGTGTCAGCTGGGCCACACTTGTTCTGGACGCTCTGTTCCTTGCCTCTTCCAGCTTCTGGAAAGTGTTCCTTGGCTTGTGGCCACATCACTCCAATCTGCAAGGCCAACATTTTCAGATATCTCTCTGCTCTGCCTTTATAGTGCCTTCTCCTGTTTGTGTCAAGTCTTCCTTTGCCTTCCTTTTTTTTTGGGGGGGGGTATGCGGGCCTCTCGCTCCTGTGGCCTCTCCCGTTGCGGAGCACAGGCTCCAGACGTGCAGACTCAGCGCCCATGGCTCACGGGACCAGCGGCTCCGCGGCATGTGGGATCTTCCCGGACCGGGGCACGAACCCGTGTCCCCTGCATCGGCAGGCGGACTCTCAACCATTGCGCCACCAGGGAAGCCCCTGCCTTCCTTTTGTAAGGACACATGTGGTTGCATTTAGAGCCCCCCTCGATATTCCAGGATAATCCCTCCATTTTAATCCTTAATTTGGGACTTCCCTGGCGGTCCAGTGGATAGGACCCAGCGCTTTCACTGCTGTGGGCCCGGGTTCAATCCCTGGTCTGGGAGCTAAGATCCTGCAAGCCTCAGGGTGTGGGGAAAAAAAATCCTTAATTTGATAACATCTGCAAAGACCCCTTTCCAAATAAGGTAACATTCATGGATTCCAGAGATTAGGACATGGATATCTTTGCGGGGAGCCATTTTCAGCCTACCACAGAAAATGTGTTCACTGAATCATTCAGCAAGTATTTATTGAACACCTACTGTGTGCCAGGCATTTGTCTAGGCACTGAGGATACAGCTATGAACAGAACAGAGATCCATAGCCTCTTGGAGCTGACGTCCTAAGGCTGTACTCACTGTCTAAAAATGGTAGCTACAGGCCCTGAGTGGCTATTGAGCACTTGAGATGTGCTGCAGTGTAAAACACACTGGAATTTGAAGATTTAGGATACACACAAAAAGAATGTTAAATATCTCAATAATTCAAAAATATTGATTACATGTTGAAGTGATATAATGGGTTAAATCGGATATGTTATTAAAGTTAAATTCACTTGTTTCTTTCTATTTTTAAATGTAGCTATGACAGTATTTAGAATTACATGTGTAGCTTGTATTCTATTTCTATTGGACAGCACTGTCCTAAGGGGAGGGAGAAGATTATGGACAATTAACACAGTAAATAAGTATATTATATGGAATGATTGGAAGTGAAAGCTTCTATGGAAAAAAATAAAGATCAGGGTAGGGGAGTGTTTCCTATGGCTGCTGTAACAAATTACCACAAACTTAGTGGCTTAAAAAAACACCCATTTATTACCTATTGCAGTTCTAAAGGTCAGATATCCAAAATATGTGTTAGGGTCTAAAATCAAAGGCTGAACTTGAGTGGACCTAGAGATTATCATATTAAGTGAAGTAAGTCAGACAGAGAGAGACAAATGTCATATGGTATCACTTATATGTGGAATCCCCCCCCAAAAGAAAGATACAAATGAACTTATTTACAAAATAGAAACAGACTCACAGACATAGAAAATAAACTAATGGTTATCAAAAGGGATAGCAGAGGTAGGGAGGGAGGGAGAGATAAATTAGGAGTTTGGGATTAATATATACACACTACTATACATAAAATAGGTAAACAACAAGGACCTACTGTATAGCACAGGGAACTATACTCAATATCTTGTAATAACCTATAATGGAAAGGAATCTGAAAAAGAATATATATATACATAACTGAATCACTTTGCTGTACACTTGAAACTACTCAATATCTGTAATAACCTATAATGGAAAGGAATCTGAAAAAGAATATATATATACATAACTGAATCACTTTGCTGTACACTTGAAACTAACACAACATTGTAAATTAACCATACTTTAATTAAAAAAAACAAAATTGAAAGCTGAGTTCCTTTTGGAGGTTCCAGGGGGAAATCCATTCCTTGTCTTTTTCAGCTTCTAGAGGATGCCTACACTGTTTGGCTCCTGGACATATCGCTCCGATCTCTGCTTGCATCATCATATCTCTTCCTCTGACTCTGACCCCACTGCCTCCCTCTAATAAGGACCCTGGGGATTACATCGGGCCCACCTGAATCCAGGGTAATCTTCCCATCACAAGACCCTTAATTTTTTTTCTTTTCTGGCCACACCCCATGGTATGCGGAACTTCCCCCACCAGGGATCGAACCCGCAGCCCCCGCGGTGGAAGCGCGGAGTCTTAACCCCTGGACCACCAGAGAAGTCCAAGATCCTTAATTTAATCACATCTGTAAAGTCCCTTTTACCACTTAAGGTAACATATTCACAGAGTACGGAGATTAGGAGGTGAACATCTTGGGGGGGCATTATTCTGTTTACCACAGAGAGGGTCAAGCCAGAGAAGCTGTGGTTTTAGACAAGGGTGTCTGGAAGAGAGCCTCACTGAGAAGGTGACATCTGCCTAAAGACCTGAAGGAAGGGAGGGAAGGAGCAGTGTGGATATTCGGGAATGGCATTCCAGGAAGCAGGGACAGCCAATGCAAAGGCTCAGAGGTCTTCCCTCAGACCCGTTTCCTTTTCCTGGGAGCCCCTCCTTCTTGCTGCCTCTAGTCTAAACTACAGGGGTCAGAAGTTGGTGCTGCCCTAGGTGCCTCCTGAATCTTGCTTGCGGAGCAGAAGGGTTTGAGATTCTAATCATCATTGGCCTCTTGCACAATCTCTATTGCCCATGGTTCCTCAAAGGGCAGCTTGGCCTGTGGGGAGAGGCAGGAGCCTGGGTCAGAAAGGCAACAGATCCAGCCCTCCCCTCCACCCGCAGTCCAGAGGGGCGATCACCTGGGCTTCGGTGGGGCTCTGTCTATGCAGCGTCCGCCTGCGGTGCCACTGGCGCAGGGAGGCCCGGGCCTCAGAGCTGAGCCCCTGGGGCGCGCGGCCCGTGTCGGGCTGGTAGTGGGCAATGTGGTACAGGGCCCCAAACCACGTGGTCAGGTAGTACCCGGCTAGGGGCAAGAAGGGGAGGTCAGCGCAGCCCCCTCAGGTTCCCTGGCCGCCTGCAGGCTCCCTGCAGGTTGCCCGCCTTCCCTCCCGCTGCAGGCGGGCGGCCTAGGGCGCCCCCTCTTGGGTCCCGGCGTTCTGGGGCTGGGGCTGGGGCGTCACCCTCTCCCCGTAGCTCGTCCGGATCCAAGAGCTCCATGAGAAACTCCACGTCGAGCTGAGTCTCCCCAATGTCGGGACTCCAGATTAGTTCCTCTGTTAGCGCTGGCAGGAAGGCGTCGGCCCCCAGGGGCTCTAGGGGAGCCAGAGGACAGGCTCTGGGGTGGACGGGGCGTGCAGGCACCTTCCATCCGATCCCCAGGACCGCAAGTGCGGGCTGCCCTTCCGCTTTGCCGGGCATGCAAACGCCCCTTACTAGATTCCCGCGGCCCGCGTAGATCATGCGAGATCCTGCTAGATCATGTAGATCCTGCTAGATCATGCCATCTTCCCCTCGACGTGTGCACGGGAGCCTCCTACCTGGCTCCCGTAACCCTCAAGCCACTCCACATTCAGGTGGACTCAAGACTCCTCCTTTACCTTGGTTTTCGTCCCGAGCCAGGCCCTCGTAGACATCACTGCACACCGCCAGCAGGAGCGACACCTTGCGGCGTGGGTCGCAGGCTGAGTGGAGGCGCGCCAGGCGCGCGTGGATGCGGCTTCGCAGGGCGGGGACGGGGCCCCGCCTCTCATGCCCCGCCCCCTGAGCTCCCGGAGGCCCCGCCTCCATCCGCAGGGCTATCTGTCGCCGCCGCAGTTGCCGCAGAGCTGGGGCGCGGAGCGTGCGGAGTCGAGTCCACAGGGCCGGCTTCAGGGGCGCCAGCACCGCCCGGCACAGGGCCGCCTCCACCGCGGGGCCTGCAGGGGTTGAGATGGGTGAAGGAAGGGTCGCCAGGCTGACCCACGCCTACCCTCACTCTCCAGCGACCCACCCTCGCCAACCGCAACACCTTCCTAGCCTGTGGCCACCCACTTGTGTAGACTTAGGTGTGAGCGCGTGTGGAAGAAGGAGCCTGGGTGTGAACGAGCGCGTGGGAGAGAGAGTATGGCTGTCACACGTGTGTGAGATGGAGCAGTGGTGAACGGAATAGGTATTACTACATGTAGGAGAGGGCGTGTGAGTAGAAAAGGAAACGGGTGTGCACCCAGATGGAGAGAAGGAAGTTGGGCGTGAACACCTATGTAGGGCCAAGAGATGGCAAACATGAACCTGTGCGGGTTGGGAGAGTGGCCCTAAGTTCCCTCTCAGTCCTCCTCATTACCTAGATCCTCGTCCTTCTGGGGGGCCCCGGGAGCCCTGCTCTCAAAGACAGCCCTGACATCGGGGTCCTTTGCTAAGTGATCTTGGAGGTCAGCAAGGAGGTGCCGCATATCCTGAAGCAGCTCTGTGGCCGGGTCCCCAGGCCTGTGGGGACCTTCAGCCTCTGAGGTGAGGCGCACCCGAAAGCCCCGGAACTGCCTGGCCACGTAGCTGCTCCGGGCCCTGGCTAGAGCCTGGATGTGACGTGTGAGCGCATCCTCAGCTCCCTCTTCTCCATCTCTGTAGTCATCCTCCTTCTCTTCCACCGGGCTGGCCAGAGCTGGCCTAGGATGGTGTACTTCCGGGCTGAGTGGGCCTTCCACCCAGGAGACCTGGTGAGGGGCTGGGTTCCTGGGGGCTGATGGGGAGAGAAGGTTGAGTTCCACAGAACAGTGGCGGCAGCTCCTTCATCCCTCAGGGGCCTGGGGCCCTGCTCATCTAACCTGGACCATGTCTCTCGGCAGTCTCTGGAGTTGTCTCTGGGGGCGTCTGCTCCATCTCCCACCCTCTGTGGGTCTCCAGGTAGAGTTTGTTCACCACAAAGAACACCCTCCCTGAGGTGTTGAGTTGGATGCTGCCAATCTGCGGAGGATCTGGGGGCCAGCAGAAGTGAGGTGTCCCAGGTGTCCAAGGGGCCAGCCTTGGAGACTTGGTGTCCAGCTTTGTTACTGGAAGAACTGAGGCTTGGTCCCTGGCACCTCCTCATTCAGGCCCAGGAGTCGAGCACCACACACACACCCCCCCCACCACCTTTCTCAAACCCCAGCCTTATCTTCCCTCGAACCCTGTAGTTTGGTCCCTCAAGTACCATCCTCCTGGACTAAGGAGGTGGAAAGGTGGCCTCTTCCTCCATTAGAGAATCATGCCTCACCTGTGTTTTGGTCTCCAGGCCCTAGAGTGGGAGGGGGTAAGAGCAGTGTTCTGGGCAAAACATCCCTGAGAAAAAATGAGGAGTCACAGTATGGGTGAGGTATCATAGGGAAGGATCCCCCTTAGCCCTTTTGAAAGGTGACCTGTACCTGCTGGCTGATAGGAAGGCCAGGAGATGGGGCAGGTCTGACATCCAGAGGTTAGAGGACTCCAGAGACACACCTGGGGGGAGAGGGCAAGGAGGAACAAGTTAGAAAACTTGAGGGGTAGCAGCCTTCTTTTCCCTGGGACTCTCTCTTCCCCAGTCCTGCAGGCCCCCCAAGAACCTTCAGAACAAGGAAATTTCTGCCCTTGCAGTCCCTATCTTTTCCTGTGACTTTAGGCTTGCATTCCACTTATGCCACCAAATAGGATTCATTCATCAGACAAATATTTATTGAGCACCTATTCATTTTCAGGCACTGGGGATACAGTTGTCAAAAGGCAGATACATTCTCTGTCTTCCTGTAGTTTACCTTCTAGTGGAGGGAGACAAAAATGAATGAGTAAACAAATAAAGATAAGTGTATAATGTATTGAGTGCTATGAATGAAATGGAGTGATTGAAAGTGACCAGGGCTCTCATTAGCTGTGGTGGTCAAAGAAGATTACATTTCTACAGAGGCCTAAACGATGGAGACTAAACTAACCATTCAAGGAAGGGCATTCATGCAGGAAAAACAAATACAAAGGCCCTGAAGTTGGGACACATTTAGCCTGCTCAAGGAACAGAGAAAACAGTGTGTCTAGAGTAGAGAGAATGAAGGGCTGTAGATGGAGAGGTGGGCAGGAGCTAATCATTCATCACCTTATAGGCCATGATGGGCTGTAAGGAGTTTAATGTTTATCTAAAGATGTTGCGTGTCCTTTGCAGGGTTTAGGGCAGGAATGTATAACATCTGATTGATGTTTGAAAATATCGCTCTGGCTGCCGTATTCAGAATGGAAGAAAAGGGTGGGAGAAGGGAGACCAGAGAGGAGGCTATTGAAATTGTCTGGGCAAGAGGTGATGGTGGCTAGGATTAGGGTGATGGAGGTAGAGAGCATTGGGGAGATTCAGGAGATATTTTAGAATTAAAACTGACCAATCTTGGTGATAAGTTTGCTGTGGACTGGAAACTTGGGGGTATAGGCTCCTCACCTCCAGGAAGCTTCAGGATCTGGTAGGTGTCGATTTCCCCTGGTGAAGGTCCTGTCCTCAACACAAGGACCTGTCTGGGATCATGTCCTATGACCAGGAAACTCTGGGGGAATGGAGGCAAAGTTCAGCTTGAAGAGGATTTGTGCCTGCCTAGCAACCATTGCCCTTATTTTTGGTTCCACACCTCAAATTTCCTTTAGAAAACTCTCTACTCCACTCTCTGCTCTAGGTCCTGTGGGTGACTAACCCTCCATCAAGCCCTAGGGGTGGGTCCATGACCTGACCTAGCCAATGGGATTGACAGTGTTCTCTGACCACTGTGATTGGTTCAGAGATGGGCACGTGAACCAAGCTCAGCCAACGGAAATCTTCCACAGGATTTTTTCTGGAGCTCTTTGGAACGAGGCCTCTTTTTACACTGGGGTTGCTAAGCTGGTGAGATGTGGCCCTGAGCTGGGGCCAGCCATCTCTCTCACTACAGAGAAAGGCCCCCTGAGGAGGAAACTGTGGTATTCCTGTTAGTTGCTTCATCCAGATCTATTCCTTGCAGAACTCCAGCTTTATTCAGGGCATTAATAGGCCCAGCCATAGAAGATGGATAATGATTGATGTAGGCAGTGGTTCTCACCTCTGTATAACTCCCAGGTGAGCTTTTAAAAATGTTGCTACCTGGGCCTTATCCGTATATTCTGAATCAATTGTGAAGGCTTTTGTTTTTCCTAGTAAAAGAAAAAAATGCAACTGGTGCCTCCTTTCTTCCTTCCTCCTGCCTGGAATGCACACATGTGCTTGGGTCTGGGGCAGCCACTGGATGACCATGAGGGAAGTCCAGGAGAATTGCAGAGAAGATGGCCTTGATGTCACCCGAGGAGCAGAACCGGAGCCTGCAGCTACCTTTCTGGTTATGTTAGAAAGATAAATGCCTATTTACCTAAGCTATTATAGAACAAGTGTTTACTTGCATCCCCAAATATTTAGAATTCCCTGCAGTTTAAAGCAAAGCCAAGGCAATTCCCTGGCGGTCCAATGGTTAGGATTCTGCGCTTTCACTGCTGAGGGCCCAGGTTCAACCCCTGGTCAGGGAACTAAGACCCTACAAGCCTTGTGGCAAAACAAAAGCAAACAAAAAAAAAAGGGAAAAACAGGAAAACAAAAAACAAAGCCAAGAAGTGGAATGAAGAGAAATGTATACATTGTCTGATGTTCAGGATCCAGACATTCCTGAAATTACTTTTACTTCTGGGCTTTTCAGTCATTTGAATCAATAAGTAGCCTTTCAGTTTGCCTGGTCTGTGTTGTGCTTGTCACTAGCAACCAGCAGGGTCCTAACTGATTCAGAGTGTCGTGGGGACGGTCAGAGAGGGTCCCCGGCTGTGAGCACTTACCCCTGGTGGCCACAGCTCCAGAAGGGCTTTTGCATCCTGGGCATCCAGCTCTGGGATCTGCCACACCCCCCATGTCCTCTGAAGGCGAATGAGTGGCTCTGGGGTCCCAAGGACTCTTAAGGGGGTCTCACCTGCTCCATTCGCCTGTGATGGGATTAGTCTGGGACATGCAGGGACCAGGAGACCAGGGGACAGAGGAAGGCAGTTGGACACTGAGATGGGGTCAAAGGTACAGGAAGGGGAAGCCCAGGGGCAAAGGGTCAGAGATGGCGTTCTGGGTCCTGTGGCGGGTGGGAACTGAATGGAAGGGGCTTCTGAATCCAGTGGCAGGAGTTGGAGACAGCCCCAGCAGCCCTCACCTCTCCCCATCGGTGGGGCCTGCTGAGGCCTTGTCCTCTGGCTGTGCCATCATCCTCAGGATGCAGGCCAGTGAGCCATGGTCTGGCCTCTGGCAGGGAGGAAGATAAGTCTATTTACAACCCACATGGCAGAGACCTTGACCAATCAGAATGGACTTGAGACCCCTTGCTGTGCCAGGTATTAATTCTTTACTTGCTGGATGGTGGGGCGATCTGGGGGTCCCAGGAGTCTTGAGTCTTGAAGAAGTGGGGGAGGAAGATGACTCAAAATGAAGCTATTTACCAAGCGGTAGGGGAACATTTCAGATTATAACATCCGGTGCAGCCTTGTGAATGTGGACCAGCTAACTAACAACCTTGTCAAAATACAGTGCCCGGAAAAGGGCTCTGCCCATAGCAGGCACTCTGTAACTGTGACAAATGTTATACAACATTTCCTCCCCCTCCCTTCCCAGACCACAGAGGAGCCCTCAAATATTTTCTCCCAACATTTTATTATGAGAGATTTAAAACATTCAGAAAAACTGAAATAATTTTACAGGGAACATCCACATACCCACTACCTAGATTTTACTATTATTCTTTTTGCTTTATCACACATCTGTCCCTCTATCCATCAGACCCCAACTCTTTTAACCAGGTAGAGAGTCCTACAGTGGGTTAGCAGTTAAGGTGGGCATTCTAAAATATCTTCCCTGCAGCAGTCCCAGGAGTAGGAGTCCTAGGTTCATCCACGCATCCATCCATCCATCCATGCACCCATACATCCAACAAATATTTATTGAGTACAGGCCCAGATTAGGGTGAAAGGGTGCCTGGGGAAAAGGGTGATAGGCAGAATAGGCCCCTGCTCCCAGGGGCTTCCATTCTTCTTGGGGTGGGTATAGGGGATGGAAAATAAACAGCTAAACAAATCAATCAGCCCACTCACCAGAAGCCCAGGGTATTAGGAAGTGGGGAACAGAGAGCAGGTGCCCTGGCCAGGGGAGAACAGTCAGGAGGGGTGGGGGGAGGGAGACAGATGCTTGCCTGGGTCCCATGAGAAGGGGAGAAGGAGATGGGTGGTGCTGGGCAGGATGGGATGGTGGCAGCTGCCTGATACCTCAGGGAGGCAGTGGGTCAGTGTGGGGGTGATGATGCCAGCTGCTCAGTCCCTGGGGGCCCCTACCTGTTCTCCGAGGGGAGGCCTGGCGTAGCAGGAAGTGAAAGTGCTCCTCACAGAGAGAGGAAGCTGAGTGGGCAGGGGGAAGAGGCGGGGCTGGGGGTATTTGAAATCGACCCTCCTCCCTCTTTCCGGGGGCTCAGGCCTTAGGTGACCGGGCTCTGGAGGAAGGACCCTGGCAGTCTGGGAGTCCAGGGGTAAGAACCATGAGGCTCCCACAGCCCCAGGAGTCCCCTCTCGGCACCCTTCGGCACCCTTCACTCTTTCTCATAAGAGCCTGTGGATGTCCTTGTTTCCTTAGCGGCCCAAGGTCTAGCCCCTTCCTCTGGCAGCTTCCCTGCGGGCCCACAGGAAAGAACAGCGAGGCCAGACAGCTGATGGTTAGTTGTTTTTTGTTTTTAATTTGTCTCTAATAAGCGACACCATCTGCCCACCCCCGCCTGGGAAGCGGGTCCCGAGTGAGGGGGCCTAGCACCTGGTTTGGGAGTTGTAGGCAGACACTTGGGAGGCCTTGAGGCTTGGATCCCCCCACTGGGTGTGAGTTATGTTTGGAGGGCGCACCTCCCCACCCAGGGTAGGTTAGACTTCGTCTACTTGGCCCCAAGCCCGTGGGAACAGTAGAGAGCATGGAGGCCCTGGGGCTCTTGTCCTGGGACAGTTAGCAGTTTGGAGGTACCCCTGGCCCCCTGAGCAGTTAGAGATTAGGAGAGGCTGATCATTGGCCCTAAGGGTGATTAGGGGCTGCGAGCTGTTAGAGACTGGCTGCCCAAGCCTCAGCCCCTAAGAATGTTAGAGATTCGCTGGGGTCAGGGGTGCTGGGACCCCAGTTTTGGGAGGGAGTAGCTAGTAGATTGAGGAAATGTTCTGAGCTCCCCAGAACAGAGCTGTAGGTTAGAGGGGGCCAGGCCTGGTTGGGGCTCAGCTGTCCCAAAGCTGGGCGTCCTGCCTGGGAGATGCGGCTGTCACTGGGGTTTCTCTCCCTCCGTGGTCCTGGCCTCCTCCTTGGCAGGAGGTGGAGACTTCCTGGAGGAAGCTGAAGTGGTGGGGTTGGGAGTCCCTGACCCCGACTGGGCATCTATGCTGGCATGCTCCTTCCGGACAAGGTCCTCCAGCTCCTTCTGCAGGGGGCAAAGTTCACAGAGGTCAGAGGTCATCATGCATCATAAGGTCAGAGGACCTGTGGGACGGGGGTCCAGGGACTGGGCTCAGGGTGGGCGGGGGTGGCCCAGGCTCCTCACCTTCCATCCGAGGAGGTCGGCAAGGGCCAGGCAGCCCTGGTCGCAGTCACCCAGCCAGGCCACGTCCCTGTGGGCGGGTGAGAGTCAGAGCTCCCAGGCTTGTCCCAGGGCCCTGCCGGCTCTGCCCTGTCCTGGGCCTTCGTGCCCTCCCTCCCACCTTGGCCCTGTCCCTTGAAGGCTCCACTGCCCCCCGACTGCCGCGGGAGGGCCTCACCTGTAGGCCTTCTTGGAGTCGAAGTCCATGCCTCCTCCGAGGCCCATCATCATCCCGAGGAAAGGGTCAGTCTGTGGGGAAAGGGGTGGAGTTGGGGGGAGCTAAGAGCACAGACCCTGGAGCCAGGTGGCTTGGGTTGGAATCCCAGCTCTGTGACTTTGCTCAAGTGGCCTGGCCTCTCTGAACGTCAGTTTCTTTCTCTGTAGAGTGGGGGTGATCATCAAACCCACTCCTAGGGTTGTACTGTCAGCGAGTTAATACAGAGGAAATGCTTAGCACGGCATCTGGCACACTGCACGTTTTTTGCCTGTTGGAGAAACATCTGTCCCAGGAGGGAGCCCCTGCCTGGGAGTGAAGCTACCTCAGGAAAAGAGAGACGAGAGAGGGAGCGGGTAACTCCTGACAGAACTGCTGCAGGCCCAGGGGCCAGCTAGCCCGGACTCTTCAGTCACGGGAAGCACAACATTCTCGTTTTGGCTTAAGTCGCTTTGAGCTGGGGTTCTGTCACTCGTTCAAAAGGGTGAATGAGGGACTTCCCTGGTGGTGCAGAGGTTAAGAATCTGTCTGCCAATGCAGGGGACATGGGTTCGAGCCCTGGTCCGGGAAGATCCCACATGCCACAGAGCAACTAAGCCCGTGCGCCACAACTACTGAGCCTGTGCTCTAGAGCCGGCGAGCCACAACTACTGGGCCCGTGTGCCACAACTACTGAAGCCCGCGCGCTCTAGAGCCCGTGCTCCGCAACAAGAGAAGCCACTGCAATAAGAAGCCCGTGCACCGCAACAAAGAGTAGCCCCACTCGCCACAACTAAAGAAAGCCCATGCGCAGCAACAAAGACCCAGCGCAGCCAAAAATAAATAATAAATAAATTAAAAAAAAAAAAAAAAGGTGAATGACACAGAGGCCTGTGGAATCCTGGAGTCAGGGCAGCCTGGAACCTGAACCCTGTGGATTCCAGAATCCTTAGGTCTGAGCTGAGGGGTCCAAAGTATCAGGATTCCCCAGAGACCTGTCCCCTGGTTCCCGAGGAGGCCAGGGGGAGGCAATGTGGGGCCCCTGTGCGGGGGTGGCAGGGTGTGACTAAAAGGACTCACCTGGCCAGTCTTCTCCTTGTTGATGAGCAGGCGCGGGGTGGAGAGGGGCGCCCTGGTGGAGGGCGAGCTGAGTGGTGAGGGCCTGTCCCGGCTCCCCCAGTCCCCAGCAGCCCCCCATAGCCCCGACCCCCAACCTACTTGCTGATAAGGGATGCGAAGGGCTGCACCTGCAGGGAGGTGCCCATGATGATGAGGAGGTCCACCTTCAGGAAGTCCTGTGAAGGGGGAGTGGCCAGTGAGGCTGGGCTGCGGCCCCCGCCCCCCACCGCAAGCCCACCCGCTGCTACCTGGGGAAGCCACCTTCCCCAGGGCAGGACCCAGGCTGCCCCCGCGTGGACCGAGATGCGGGGCGCGGAGGGTATACTTACTGACTGCAGGCAGGAGAAGAAACGCGCTGGGAGGTTCTCGCCAAAGAACACGATATCTGAGGTGGAGACAGATGGACAGACAGACACAGGGAGAAATAGAGACAGTGAAAAAGCAGGGGGGCAGAAACAGGGAGGGAGAGAGAGAACGTGAAGGAGCAGAAGGTGGACCGCAGGGCTGGGGTGGGAGTGTGGAGCGCTGGGGACGGACTAGGGGCTATGGTACCCACTCTCCCTGGGGCAGACTCCGGGCACTGGTCAGGGAGAGAGGGTGACGGGGGTGGATGGACGGATAGGGAGCGTGGCCTTCTTGGGAAGGGGTTAGTGGCTGAGGGGGTCCCAGCCTGAGTCTACCTCGGTTGGTCCCCGGCCCCAAGGCTCACCAGGCTTCACCACACTCCGACATTTCTCACACTTGGGAGTCACCTCGGAGATGATCTTCTCTGGGCGTGGGGAACGGGGAGGGGGAACAGGAGGTAAGAGGCTTTGGGCTGGGGCTGCAGCCTGCCTGCCCGCCCCATCCTTCCTTCACTGTCAACAGAAACACACCTCAGTCACCGGGGCGGGCTTCCTGCCTCCCTTCTTAGACAGCTGTCCCTCCCCCACCCCCAGCATTCCTGGGGTGGCTCCCAGCACCAGCCTATAGCTATTAAATGAACAAACACACAAATGAGCAGACACTCGCCCCGAAAAGGGGCAGCTGGGTTCCACCAACCCCCGACCTGCAGAATCTGGACTTGGGAGTGAAGCTCGTCCAGTGGGTCTTTGAGGGCAGCCCCACTTCATCGTGGGCCAGAGAGGCCTGGTAGGTGCCAGGCCTAGTGGCAGAGAGGGAAGAATTATGCAGATGACGCTGGGATGGGGACAAAACCTTAGGTGCAGCTGCTTCCCACTCTTGGGCTCTGTGACAGACCCACCCCTGCCCCCACGCACAGCCCATGCTTATGACAATCCTCCTCCTCATTGCCTATTGATT